GAGGATATAGGTGAAAAGGAGATTAATGAAGAGGATGAAGAGGATATTAACGAAGAGGATAAAGTGGATATTAACGAAGAGGATGAAGGGGATATTAATGAAAAAGATAAAGGGGATATTAATGAAAAGGATGAAGAGGATATTAATGAAGAGGATAAAGAGAATATTAATGAAGAAATATCTAAAGCTAGATCAAAAGAAATTTCTACAGAAGATCCTATCTATAAGCTTTTCTAGTAAGTCTTCATAAATGATTCTTGGAGTTGTGCTTCACCAATCGAAAAGCCTTACTATTTAGCTAGAATATTTTCTGTGGTGTGTTTTTTGTGTGGTAATAGAAATATAACAAAAATATCGAATAATAAATGGCCATTGTGCATTGGATGTGGTGGAAAGGCTTTATTAAAAAAACAGTATAAATAGCATTCAAGTATTAATAAAAAAGGAAAACAGCGCAGAACTGTGTAATATATAAATTACTTATAGCTTTTATTTTTATTGGTCTTTATAAATAAATCGGCTACGCAAAGTAGTTTTCGTTAAAGTTGTTACTTTCGTTAAAGTCTAATTTTACTAATTTTATATATATGAAATAACGTGATTTGATTGGCTATCCACTTGCTGTAGCATAAAAAAAATTTTAAATTTTTTTATTTTCAGACCTGGCCAGATATGAAAACCAGTTAATTTTATTTGTATCGCCTAATTATTAATTTTTTTTTTTGATATTAAGATTAACTTTACTATACGCTAAGCTCCTATTAAAGCTCGTATAGTATATATATTTGGAGGGTATATACTAGCCAAATATATAACTTTTAATTGCTTATTTAAATAATCTACTTATTACTAAGTTCTACACTAGATGCTATATCTATAACCCAATTAGAAGATTATTTATTTAAATACTCTGCATCTATAGGGTTAATCTTTATAACCGAGTGAGAATCTATTCAGATCTCTTATTTTCAGACACCTAGCTTAGAATTTTAAAGCAGGCTTCAACTATTTAGAAAGTTCTTTATCTTCAAGGTAAATCTGCTAAAGCTTTTCGTATCTACAATCTGGCTAACCTAAGTTTTAGTAACTTATACCAAGTCTAAGAACAAGTACTTGTAAGCTGAAGCTACTATTATTACTTACTTTTAACTTTGTAGAGTTTACTTAAACCCCAGTACCTACTTTACAGACTATTAAAAGTACTTTTTGAATCTCAAACTACCAATCCAGATGGCCCAGAAGAGACTTTTACTTGAAAGATACTAGTTTTCTAGTAACTGCAAATTAACCAGATCCTTTTTCTCTGATTTCGGCAGCCTGGTTGGTAGAAGTACTTCTTCAAATACTTTGTTTATTCAGTTTTACCAGTTTAATCCAGCTAGTCTGAACTACTAATTCAGATAGCCCAAAAAGAACTTTTACCTGTAAATTACTAGTCCTCTGGTAACTACAATTAAGCAGATCTTTTTTCTCTAATCCTAGCGGTCTGGTTGGTGGTATACTTTGCTATACACCTTAGTCCTATTTAGTTTTCTAGTTTTTTCTAATAATAATTCTTTATGTAGTACTATCGAAGGTTTGTGCTATCTCTCTACTCGGATCTTGCTAAGTGGGTATCTATCTCTCCAGTTCCTTGGTTTTATACTGATAATAATCTTTTCAAATATCTGATATAATCTTGGTTACAGATCCTAAATCTGACCAATCAATGAGAAACAATAACCATTCCACAACTAAATATTTGAATTTCATTAATAGTAGAATTCAAACTCTGGATATGCTACTTGGAGATACAACAACTTCACTACTTCACTAAGTTGCCACACCCTTCAAATAATTATTAATATATTAATCTAGAATATTCTAGAATACTATCTGTATTTATATAATCTTAGTTTAGATTTTATTTATATTAAACAAACTAATAATGAAATATTTAAGCAAATATTGCTTTAAATAAAGTTTCAAAAAAATATATTAATAAAATATATAATAAACTATTGTTTAAATATCTAAAATAAATATACTATAACTATATAAATAAATTCATAAAACTATAAAATATATAATAATAATATAAAAAATATAATAATATTTAAAAAAAATATTAATAAAGTATTAATAAAATTTAGGGTTTGGGTTTTATAGCTTATTGGTTAAGTTCTCAAATCTTCACAGACAAGATAGACAGTTCAAGTCAGGCTGAAGACAAATTAAATAATTTGTTTCTGTAATTTTTGAAAGTTATAATTAAATATAAAACCCTGTCAAATACAAGTACATCAGCAAATTTAATAAGCTGAAATATTTTGAAATAATTTATAATCTGTAAAAAAGCCGTAATAATATGTAATATATTTCGAAAACTTGCGAAATATAAAAATTACGAAATATTATGTAATATATTTCAGAATATTTTGAAAATTTTTTCGGAAAATTTTTATTTTGAACTTTTTTGTACAATGGCTATTCTACGTAGTATTACTCTAAAAATCAGTTATATAAAGGTTTAACATGACTGATCTTTAATTAAAGATTTCGCAAAATACAAA